TTTTTTTTTAAATAAATGCATCATCAAGTCAGAAAAAAGGTCATGTTTTTCAATTAAGTTTTGGCTTTATACATCAAGTATAAAAACCAGAGTATTCCAATATAATCTATTAGTGAAAAAATACCAGATACTGTGGTATTGTGAAGAGGTTTCACAAAGACCTGCTTCTGAGTATGGGCCAGCCATATAGACGATTCTGAGCAAATAACTTAACCTCTCTGAGCCCGCTGTCACGTGAAAAAAGAGTATATTAACATCTACTTGATAGGCATCAAGGTATTAATTTCAGGTAAGAACTAAATGAGGTTTCCCACTTGGGATGATGACTAGAATCACAAGTGTTGGATAAACATGATTATTAGATATAGCACTTCCCTCACCATTATAGCCTGAATTTGTAATTCATCTGTCAATGGGGGGGTATCAAATCAGCCAAAGAATCATGAAGTCTTGCCCACACAGAGTAACAACAGCAGCTGCCACTCCCAAAAGGTACAAGACCCCCTTTTTTAAGGTGTAAATACACTACACTTTTTTAAGGTGTAAATACACTACAAAAAAAGCGTATTTGCTAGCAGCAAATCTGAGTTTGGTTCTTTGTTTTGTTGCTAGCTCAATGACTACAAGAACATTTAAGCCCTGCTTAAGACATATAGAAACTTGAGATACAAAATATTTTAAACATGATGAAGAAATACTCATCCCAATCTCTTATTCCAATAGTTCCAAGAGAAGATAAGGAACAAGGATGTTTACTCTGTGACACTTGTAGAACTAAGTGTTTAGGGATTAATCAAAGGAACATGGTACTCTATTTACCGATAACATAAACACTGACAAGTGTTACTTAGTTCTATGTTGCTGTGCTAAGTCATCCCATGCATGGCAAATGGCAGAAGGAAAGAAAGGTCAAGAACTAGAGAAAAAGAGGGGTCAACTTTCTTTTCTATTAGCCAACTTTCTCAAGAATGACAGTAATCCATCCATGAAGGCAGATCTAACCACTTCTTATTAGATCCCACCTCTGAACCTTTATGCACTGGGGATTTAAGTTTCTGATACTTGAACTTCGGGGGAACACATTCATACCATACAAAATTTAACCTTTCTAAGCTTCAGGAATTTTTTAAATTTTGAAAAAAAATAGTGACTAGTACTCACTCCATCTCACATAAAGTTGTCAGATAATGTATACAAATCTCTTGGCCCAGTACCTGACACGGCACAATACTTGACATATAAGTGCTCAAATAATTGAGCAATATACTGTCCTAGGAATCTTAAACCATACCCAAGGGCCAAGTCTTTTTGTTTTCTTACCATTATCTTTTTTTGTACTGCATCTACTATTTAAATGATGCTTAGAAAAACTTTCCAGATGAAGAAAATACAATTGTATCAAAGATTTGTAAAAGTTCTATGGAATCTTTGTATCTAATCTATAGTTATACCAAATTCAAACCTGCTTTTAAATTACATCTGACAGATTCCATCTAGTAAAACATACTTAATTTCCTAACCAGTCCAATAGTTAACAGCAATATTCTTTGTATTGACCTCAAATCCCCCTTCTGGTATTATCCCTTTCTCGTTCTAGTTCTGTTCCTGTAGCACATAATAGGGATCCTTCTCATGTGATAAAATATTTGGAGATAACTATTATGCTTCTTTCTCTGTAATGCCAAATGATAGCGTTTCTAGATTTGACTGTCCAAGTTAATTCCTTTTAATAGTATATTCCAAATGCACAGGATTCAGATGTATTCCTTTGTTAATGGGATCAAATAGTGAATTGGATTTTGTATTAATTTCATAGTACTACAATTAAAAAAAAAAATCACCACACATTTAGTGGCCTAAAACATCGCAGATTTATTATCCTTCACTTTGATGCCAGACTCTCACCAGTCTAAAATCAGGGGTCAGGTAGAGCTATTCTGGAGGCTCTAGAGGAAAATATATTTCTTGCTCTCTCCAGTTTCCCACCCAGTCACAGTCAGGATGCCTACGTTCCTTTAGCTTATGGCCTCTACTCTACCTGTAAAGCCAGCAGCATAGCATCTTCTTCCATTTCCTTTATTTCTTTCTCTGTTCCTGCTTGTTTTATGTAAGGACCCTGGGACCTCTCAGATAATCCAGTACAATCAGTCCATATTGAGATCCTTAACTTAATCACATCTTCGAAGTCACTTTGTTCTCATGTAAAGTAATATATTCAGAGGTTCTGGGAAACAAGATCATGGACATCTATGAGAAACTGTTCATTACTTTTTAAAAAAATAACTTTATTTTATTTTTATGTGGTGCCAGGGATCCAACCCAGTGCCTCACTCTTGCTAGGCAAACGCTCTACCACTGAGCCACAAACCAGCCCTGTTCATTACCTTTTTAAAGTAGTGTTTCATTCATTGTTAACTGTAATCAACTGAATCCCTCAAACTGTTTTCAGTATGATCTCTATCAAAACTAGATTTTCATGCTGTCTATTTTGGTGTTTGACAGTCCTTTCAACCTATCTAGTTAGCATGAAAATCAGTTTCTATTTGATGTTGAATCTAGCCTAATCAGCTAAATTTTCATAAATTTACTTAGTATTCCCTACTCTAAGGCAATAGTTCTTAAAATGTCAAAAGAATAAAAGCTGTGGGATGACCTTAACTGATTTACTGACAGCTAAAACCCACTGAACAACAGCCTGCCTATGTTTTTCTAATTTATTCACGATGCAGTCATAGCCAATCTTTCTGAAAAAAAAACTGGCATACAGTCTTCACTAGACAAAGCACACTTTTAAAAAGGAAGAAGTTTAATTTGTTATGAATTATTAGTGAATCTGTTCTGGCTATTAGTGATTAGCAATTTCTAGGAATGCATAAAACAAATCTCTAATAGAATTGGCAGGGATAAAGGTGAACTGGCATAGTTTACAATTTCTAGAATACACCTTTTCCTACTTTTTGAAATTAAATTTCAAGGCAATGAAAAGAATTGGAAAGCTACACTTTAGTTCAAGTTAATTTTTCTTAACCTTAATTATCTCAATCAGTAATTTTCGTCCTGAATTTCTCTCAATGGATACTAACCCTATCTTTTCCCTGAAACTTTAAAAAAAAATGTTTTCCTCAAATTTATTTTGGAAAGAATTTTACTGATTATATTGTAGTATTCATTCCTTTGCAATTATGACCTTCAAGATGGTAAAATATTTTTCTTTAAGCTCCTGTTATCAATAATGTATAAAATTTAATTAAAAAATAGAAATGCTTCCCAAAAGAAATTAAAATACTTCACAGTGATGGACACTCAAGCCTCCCTCCTGTTTGATACAGGTATCAATGCTTAATTCTATATTCTTTCCTCTTTTTTTTGTTCATTTGACTTTATATACAGATACACTGGTTTAATCCAAACCAAGAGTTAAAACTAACCCAATTATTAATAATTACTAGTAACATATAAACACTTTATAAAAGACACACTAAATTTCTTAATAAAAGATGTCTATCTTTTCTGAAAAGATGTTTACCCATCTAATTATAACTTAAAGGTAACTTCATAAAATACTTATTGTATTGGGTAAGGGATAGTTTACAGTCCCCTCTTAACGTAGCATTTCGTTTTATGCTCTTAGTGTGTAATTTACCAAAAGTGTGTTATTGAGTAAATCCTTTCTTAATACTGGGCAATGCAGCTGGGTACAGTGGTACATGCCTATAATGCCAGCATCTTAGGAGGCTGAGGCAGGAGGATCATCAAGTTTGAGACCAGCTTCAGCAATTTAGTGAGACCATATCTCAAAATATAGAATAAAAAGGGCTGGGGATGTAGCTCAGTAGCAGAGCACGTCTGGGTTAAATTACCTGTTACCCCCCAATCCTTCCCCCCCAAAAAAGGACAGAAAAAGGACAATGTAATGTACTATGTAGTAGGGGGAAGACGGAAGGACAATCATTTGTTAAACAAGTACTACCATGCCATTCCACATGAAAGTAGAATTCCCTGTTAACCAACAGCATGAGCAGACAATAAAAGATACAAAGAAACTGAAAAATGTATACAGAACAACTCAATTAACAAAGGAAATCCCAATAGTTATAACAGTGAACATAGAAGAAAAATTCAAATTTACTAATCAATAGTCAAACAAGTGCAAATTAAAACAAAGAGATAATTCTTCATTTATCTGACATGAATGTGGATTGCCATAAAGCAAAAATTGATGAAACCTAGTGGGCAAAAAAAAAATTTATTTTTGGTACCAGGGATTAAACTCAGAGGCTCAACCACTGAGCCACATCTGCAGCCCTGTTATTTAGAGACAAGATCTCACTGAGTTGCTTAGTGCCTCACCGTTGCTGAGGCTTGGCTTTGAACTCGTGACACTGCTGTCTCAGCCTTACAGGTGTGTGCCACCGCACCTAGTGGCAAATTTTAATTCTAGAAAGAAATCTAAAAGCATCTAACAAGAATTTTTTAAATGTCCATACCTTTTTTTTAAAACAATATTTTTAGTTAGTTGTCAACAGATCTTTTACTTATTTATGTATTTATTTATTTATATGCAATGCTGAGAATTGAACCCAGGGCCTCACGCATGCTAGGCAAGTTCTCTACCACTGAGCCACAACCCCAGCCCTCCATTTTTTTTTTTTTAATATTTACTTTTTAGTTTTCGGTGGACACAACATCTTTGTTT